AGAGCGGCTCATTGTTAAAGTGTTTAAAGACCGGACTGTCAGCCGAAAATCTGGGTCTGAACGTGCGAATTGTGGCCGTCAGCGACTAGTCAATGTTAGGGCAGAACGGGGGAGGGGCAAGACTGGTACAAGACAACAGAAGGGCAACAGTGCCGTGTCAGATTTCTCGCATCACCTTTCAACATCTCGTGGAGTCACCAGGCGGCCCAACCAAGTACTGATGGGGGGGTCATAATAATCTGGCCACTCAGTGTATAATCAGTGTATATTTTGAAGGCGCACCTACGCGAGTGGAGAAGTCCACGACGATTGCAAGAACTGACGGCTGGCACACGCGCACTAGCGCCATCTCGCCGAAATCTACAACGGATGTGACGACACGAGTTGGAGATCTCGACGAGTTGGCCACCTCGACAGAACACCGGCGCCCCGCCGGTCCAACAGTTATTGCAGGAGTTATTGCAATGCATTGTGGTGGCCTACATATTGCATGGCACCCTTGCACACTAAAGCAATGCACAAGCATGCACGGGCACTGTGTTAGGAATTCTGCAACACGTCCCATATTCCCGAACGTTTTGGTGTGCTGGGATTGCCTCATTTTCAATGGGCTGCATTAACACGACACACATTGACGCACCAAATGAGCCCTAAAGGATATTTAAACCCTGAAATACATTGCAGCATAGCAGTCCTTATACACATTTATTGCCGCCTTGCTTCCTGATCCTCCCAGCCAGTCAGGAAGCCTGGCAGTATGTAATGATTTGCCGCCTAGCTTCCTGATTGGTCGAGAAGCTTGCCAATCAGGAAGCCAGGCAAGGACTTATTACCCAGCGCCCCCGGTTCCTGAAAGGCTGGGAAGCCGGCTCCATGCTTCCTCGTCACAAGGTAACGAGGGAGCACGAAGCCGGCTTTCAGCCAATCAGAAAGCTGGGGGGCGGGTAATGACTTACCGTCCGGCTTCCTGATTGGCCAGCCCCCCGACCAATCAGGAAGCTAGGCGACGAGTCATTACATGCTGCCTGGCTTCTTGACTGGCTGGGAAGCCGGCTCCATGCCAAGGGAGCATGGAACCGACTTCCCGGCCAATCAGGAAGCTGGGCAGCGTGTAATGACTCGCTGCCCGGCTTTCCGATACCGGAAATTCCGGTATCGGGCTAGGCATTGGCAGGACAGCCATCAGAAATTTTAGGGCCCCTTACACGACTTTAGGCCAGGCCTCCCCGCGCCGCTGGACACAGGGCTTAGAGACGCGCTGGACGCAGGACCCACCTGAGAATGACCCTGCAGAGCCCACCATAGATGCTGCACAGCCCATCTGAGACTGCCTATGGTGGGCTCTGAAGGGGTCTCAGGTGGGCTGGTCAGGGCTGCATCCCTCCCCCTCCCTCCTTTCCTTCCTAGCTCCTCTTACCTGCACACATGCCCTCGTCTGCCGCCGGACCGGCCAGAAGTGACGTCACTTCCGGTCAGTCCGACATCAGACGAGCAGCGTCGCTGATGGGGCCCTAGCTTGTCTCAAAGCCACTGGAGCTGCAATGCTAGGGGCCCTGCGCTGCTAGGGCCAGGCCCCTGCCTCCTCGCCCTTCACCGTCGGCCGATAGTCATGTAAGGGAGCCGGGCGGGCCCCCCAGGCTGCCCGGGCACCTTACATGAGTATCTGCCGTAACCCCCTGATGGCTGCTCTGGGCTTTGGAGCATTTGGGCGAGTATGCGTACTCGCCCAAATATTTGGCATGGGCACAGATACCGATTCTAGTATCGGTGCACCCCTAATATTTATAAAGCAGTAAATATGCCTTTCACCAAACATTTACTTGAAAGATCCACCTGCAGTGAATGTTTGGTGACTATCAGATTCGCAACTTCATAGATATGTTTGGAGTCCCCAGTTATTGGGCACATTTACCATTTCAGCCAAATGCTTTTTATGCTTCCTTCAAAGACTCATGCTGGGTTCACACCTAGGCGTATCGAATATGCGCGTTTGTTGCGCGTTTCGTGGCGGTTAAAAACGTGCAACATACGCACGTTTCTGAGGGCTACTTGGCTGTATCCCAATGGAAACGCGCGACAAAAACGCCCCAAAGAAGCTCCTGTACTTCTTTGGGCGTAGGGCGTTTTGTAGCGCGTTCATACGGCCTGTAATACGCCCAGGTGTGGACCATACCCATAGGAAATAATGGGGATTTCGGTGTTTGAGCGTTTTGCAGAGCGTTCGAACGCGCTACAAGACGCCCAGGTGTGAACCGGGCCTCAAGCAAAATTGTACTTCACTGAGTCTGAAATACACAGCAATGTATGAACAAGGGCAAAAAATGCCCATCGGAAGACACGCAGACATTTAATTACAGGAGTGGGAATTGTCCTCGAATAGTCTCCGTAACGTCCTGCTGTAAAGTTTTACTGATTAATAAGCCGGAGAGAGATCTAAAAATCTGGCGGAGTATTATAGCTCAGCGGCGTTGACGCTCACAGTTATAATTAGGCCGCCTCTCTCTCCCACATTCTTGACCCTGCAGAGCCCACCATAGATGCTGCACAGCCCATCTGAGACTGCCTATGGTGGGCTCTGAAGGGGTCTCAGGTGGGCTGGTCAGGGCTGCATCCCTCCCCCTCCCTCCTTTCCTTCCTAGCTCCTCTTACCTGCACACATGCCCTCGTCTGCCGCCGGACCGGCCAGAAGTGACGTCACTTCCGGTCAGTCCGACATCAGACGAGCAGCGTCGCTGATGGGGCCCTAGCTTGTCTCAAAGCCACTGGAGCTGCAATGCTAGGGGCCCTGCGCTGCTAGGGCCAGGCCCCTGCCTCCTCGCCCTTCACCGTCGGCCGATAGTCATGTAAGGGAGCCGGGCGGGCCCCCCAGGCTGCCCGGGCACCTTACATGAGTATCTGCCGTAACCCCCTGATGGCTGCTCTGGGCTTTGGAGCATTTGGGCGAGTATGCGTACTCGCCCAAATATTTGGCATGGGCACAGATACCGATTCTAGTATCGGTGCACCCCTAATATTTATAAAGCAGTAAATATGCCTTTCACCAAACATTTACTTGAAAGATCCACCTGCAGTGAATGTTTGGTGACTATCAGATTCGCAACTTCATAGATATGTTTGGAGTCCCCAGTTATTGGGCACATTTACCATTTCAGCCAAATGCTTTTTATGCTTCCTTCAAAGACTCATGCTGGGTTCACACCTAGGCGTATCGAATATGCGCGTTTGTTGCGCGTTTCGTGGCGGTTAAAAACGTGCAACATACGCACGTTTCTGAGGGCTACTTGGCTGTATCCCAATGGAAACGCGCGACAAAAACGCCCCAAAGAAGCTCCTGTACTTCTTTGGGCGTAGGGCGTTTTGTAGCGCGTTCATACGGCCTGTAATACGCCCAGGTGTGGACCATACCCATAGGAAATAATGGGGATTTCGGTGTTTGAGCGTTTTGCAGAGCGTTCGAACGCGCTACAAGACGCCCAGGTGTGAACCGGGCCTCAAGCAAAATTGTACTTCACTGAGTCTGAAATACACAGCAATGTATGAACAAGGGCAAAAAATGCCCATCGGAAGACACGCAGACATTTAATTACAGGAGTGGGAATTGTCCTCGAATAGTCTCCGTAACGTCCTGCTGTAAAGTTTTACTGATTAATAAGCCGGAGAGAGATCTAAAAATCTGTCGGAGTATTATAGCTCAGCGGCGTTGACGCTCACAGTTATAATTAGGCCGCCTCTCTCTCCCACATTCTCACGCCGGACTTGTGAAGGGACCCGAGTCCCAGACGCCGCTGTACGGGAAAGGTCAGGAGGAAAATATAATCAGGGATTGACCAGGACATCATTGTAAGTGGCATAAGTGAAGATCTTTAGTGATCACTAGAGGGTTCCCCAGCAGGAGGAAGGAGGTCCTGATCCCTCTATATAGATATTTATTATCACTAGAGGGATCACCGACAGGAGGAAGGAGGTCCTGATCCCGCTATATAGATCTTTCTTATCACTAGAGGGGTCCCCAGCAGGAGGAAGGAGGTCCTGATCCCTCTATATAGATCTTTATTATCACTAGAGGGATCCCCAGCAGGAGGAAGGAGGTCCTGATCCCTCTATATAGATCTTTATTATCACTAGAGGGATCCCCAGCAGGAGGAAGGAGGTCCTGATCCCTCTATATAGATCTCTATTTGATGGACCACTTGGTCTTTTTTGAGGAAGGAGGTCCTGATCCCTCTATATAGATCTTTATTATCACTAGAGGGGTCCCCAGCAGGACAAAGGAGGTCCTGATTCCTCTATATAGATCTTTATTATCACTAGAGGGATCCCCAGCAGGAGGAAGGAGGTCCTGATCCCTCTATATAGATCCTTATTATCACTAGAGGGATCCCCAGCAGGAGGAAGGAGGTCCTGATCCCGCTATATAGATCTTTATTATCACTAGAGGGATCCCCAGCAGGAGGAAGGAGGTCCTGATCCCTCTATATAGATCTTTATTATCACTAGAGGGGTCCCCAGCAGGACAAAGGAGGTCCTGATTCCTCTATATAGATCTTTATTATCACTAGAGGGATCCCCAGCAGGAGGAAGGAGGTCCTGATTCCTCTATATAGATCTTTATTATCACTAGAGGGATCCCCAGCAGGAGGAAGGAGGTCCTGATCCCGCTATATAGATCTTTATTTTAACATGCCTGGCACAAACAAAAATCTAGATTTAGACAAAAGTTAAAGAAAGGGGCCGACTTGATGGACCACTTGGTCTTTTTTTTGCCATCATTCTTCTATTTTTAGAGATCAGACATCTGCTACCCAGCCCACCCTCCCTCTATAAATCAGTATATATGGTGTTTTATGTCCACACGTTTCCCCCTGGAAGAGTCCCGGCAATAAAAGACAATATGACAAGTTCAATTCCAGGAGGCTTTATGGGAAGAGAGAGTAATCCCGGGCCGCGATGGACGGCCGATGTTACAGGATGGAATGTGATCAGAATCACTGAGCCTTTACCTTGCATGGGAGGGCTGTCGTGCTGGGACCCATTGTGTTCTGGTTCCATCTCTGGAATGCAGGCATCTGAAACACACCAAGAAAAAAAACATTTGTAACTTATTAACACTGAAGGTTCAGTCCACCCAAAACTTGTCTCCAGTTATAGGTGGAACCAGGGGGGCTGAATGACCTGCAGGCTTTTTATATCTCCAGGAGATTTCCCCACCGCAGTCTCTTGGCTCTGTACCCGCCCCTTTGGAGTTTTGATGTTCCCACCACAAGTTCTGAGTGCACTTGTTCTCTGGACCTCTTACAATACTGAACCCTACGGACTAACACTGGGATGCCATTAAAGTTCATGTGCGTGTAAAGGCGTCCCAATACTTTTGGTAATATAGTGTATATAATAAAGTGTACTAAAATCCAAAACGTTTTTGGGTTGGGAAGGGTTAGAGCCCCCGTCAAGGTTTCATTGGTCAAATACTGTATGTATGAAGCAGTAAGGGTCCCACACCGACGGTCTAGAATGTATTTTTATTACATAGTTATTGGAATAAGATCAGATACTCGCCCTCCATCAGACACAAGCCAAAGAGTCATACATTTCATATGAAATAATAATAAGAATGTTACAAAGACTCTTCATACTATTCTAACACACAATGAGGTCTGCGTCAGTAGAATATCTAATATGGTTTACAAAAATAATAATAAAACAGAACAATAGAACTTATATAATCCTGGGTGAAAACCACGACAACGCGGAGAAGTCAGCGTTCGCATTCGGTGTTGTCATGGTTTTCACCGATAATGAATCCTGCGATTATATAACTTTCTATTGTTCCGTTTTAATATTTTTGTAAACAATACTGGATATTCTTTCAGTAATAACCTCGTTGTGTGTTACAGAAGTATGCGGATGACTGTTATATGGTGTTGTTGCAACATTCACCTTTTCTAAATAGACATTTTGTTTCCTTTTTCAAAAGAGATTCTTCAGAACATGAATTCTATTACTTTGTTTGAACTTTTGTACTCTTTGGTACATGTAGCCCTGACGAAGGGGGATGGGCCGAACTCCCCAAACATGTCGTCTCTCTTACGCAATTTATTATTTGATAAAAAAAAAAAAAAACTGGACTCCACTCTGTTACTATTGGTGTGCTTCTTACATATCTAGACTTCTCTCCGGGCCCCTCTTTTGCTGGGGGTGCTCTGGGACAGACGTAACATTGGCTTGATCAATGAGACAGTCATTCACAACACTGGGTTTTATTGATAGAATAGCGCCTTCCGCGCATGTACCTCATTTTTTTATTGGTGTCCGTGTCCCCACTGGGGAGATTCTAGAGGTGCAACGAAATGTAAATTTCACAACCGAAACGAAATAGAAAATGCTTTTTATTCTAATTTTTTCAAATGTTTTATTTTTATCAACTTTTTAATTTTTATTTTTAATAATTCAATTTTTATTAAATATTTTTTGTTTTACTTTACTTTTAGGGGCTTCGGGGAAATATTAGGACCCCTGATATTTCCCTTTTAAAATAGAAAAAAAGAGATTGGGGACACAGAGTGTCTTATTCTGTATCCCCTGTTATAAATGAACATGAATCCTCTATACTGAGTGTTCCTGATCATAAAATGGCACTTTCAGCATTTAGCCAAAAGGGCCATTTTCGGCCGATATGTTTCAGCGGCCAACATATCGGTGCATCCCTAGGAGATTCCTCTTTCTATTTGTCCTGATGACCATTGTCACTGGGACAAAAGGTGATGTGAAATCCAAAATGTTAAAAGTTGTCACCAGGATGGGGAGTGAAGGTAAATCTTCCAATGGGGAGACCTGTTCTGGTAACAACTGTTCAAGAGGGAACTTGCCCAGGGCAGGGCATGGGGCATGGCTGGTAAACAGACAACATTTAGGACTGGGATGGGCGTAATCGGTGAATAAACAATGGCCAGGACTGGAGGTGGGGGGTAAGCGTGCCTGGCAAATAGACTATGGAAGATACAAGCACGTCGTTCATGGACACTACATCATTCCAGTGGTCGAACTATCGCCATAGCGACCACGGCAGCCGCTATGGGGCCCAGGGCACAGGGGGGCCCGGCCATGACAATGAATAAAAGGGGTCCCCTTGATGCCATACGTGTCGTCTGGGTCGCTATGGCATCCAAGGCTGCTGGCTGTCACTGGCGACTGTGACGAGGAACGCACCGCTGTTCAGATCAATGACAAACTATGGGGGAGAGAGGCTGACAGGTAAGAGGTGTGCAGGGGTGTGACCAGCCCACCTGAGACCCTGCCGAGCCCACCATTGAGAGTCTATGGTGGGCTCTGCAGGGGGGTCACTTTCAGGTGGGCTGTGTGGGGTCTCAGCTGGGCTCTGCAAGGGGCGTAACTAGAAACCACAGGGCCCCATACAAAATGTTGCTATGTGGCCCTGTGATTTCTAGTTACGCCCCTGCGTCATTCAGTTATCGCAAAAATAAAGAAATGTGCAGTCATTATTTTTTTGCATTGGATCCTGCAAAGCATTGCAAATGTGATCAGCGGAACAAAGGTGTGATGCTCAGGCTCCTGCAGACTATTCCTCCCAGCCCCAGGTATGCACGGAGGTACCTTCAGTGATGGAGCTGGAGGACGTTATCAATGTAATGTCACCTCACTTGTGCTCCACTGAGAACCATGAGTTCCTCAGCTGCAGTGGCAGATGGGACTTGTAAATTGTGGATCTGTGAATAAATGACACAGCAGGGTGTAGCTCTGCCCAAATGTAGGTAAGTAGAGGGGCTGGTTGAGGGTCATTTTTGCTGGACGGCTTGCCCTGCATGTAAAAGGTGTAGAAAAGGCATTTGACATATAAAAGGAATTAATTTACTGATTATTAGGGATGCACCGATACCAATACTAGTATCAGTATTGGTGCCAATGCCGAGTGTATTTGGGCAAGTACTCGTGCTCGCCCAAATGCTCCGATGCCTAGCCCGGTACTTCCGATATCAGGCAGCGCGTCATTACACGTCGCCCGGCTTCCTGATTGGCTGGGAAGCCGGCTCCGTGCTCTCTCGTCACTTCCGGCCAATCAGGAAGCCGGGCAACGGTGTAATGACTCGCTGCCCGGTTTCCTGATTGGTTGGGAAGCTGGCCAATCAGGAAGCCGGGCGGCCGTGTAATGACGCGACACCCGGCTTTCTGACTGGCCGGGAAGCCGGCTTCATGCTCCCTTGTCATGAGTTGAGCGTGGAGCCGGTTTCCCGGCTAATCAGGAAGCTGGGCGCTGCGTCATTACATGGAGCCCGGCTTCCTGATTGGCCAGAAAGCCGGCTCCATGCTCTCTCGTCACCTGGTGACGAGAAGCATGGGGACGGCCTCCCTGCTAATCGGGAAGCTGGGTGGCGAGTCATTACACGCCGCCTGGCTTCCTAAATGGGACTTCCGGTACTCGGTATTCGGTATCAGCGAGTACCGAAAAAAATATATCAGTACTCGGTACCAAAATACCGGTATCAGTGCATCCCTACTGATGATTATAATGGCGGGATTTATTACTGTAGAGTAACCAGAATCCAATCATTTCCCTATAGTTGTCCTTTAAACAGAACCTTTTATTTTCAAGCCGTGCTAGTCACCTCGCTCTCGCCTCCGCCGGATCTGTCCCCGGGGACCCTGCGCCTCCCCCCACTTGTCACATTTGATGTCCCCCAATACGGCTGATTTCCATACAGACGGGGAACTCGTGTGATTCTTGCGGCGAGTCGATTACGGCTGTGACATTGCGCGCGGCGGCTCTCCGCCTGTAATCGCACCCACCCGGAGAAAGAGAGAGAGTGGCGGCTTACCGTTTAACATCCGGAGACCCTCTCCCGACGTGGCTTGTTTAAGTGCCTGCTCCACTTGTTCCCGCCGCTTAGACTCGAACTCCAGCGCCTCCTGTAATTTTCTCTTGGCTTTCTTCTCTTTCTTCAAGCGCTTCTGAATTGTAGCTGAAAAGACACAAAAAATTACCGGCGTTACGGTCAGACGAGCTCTCCCAGGAATATCTTCCCGCAAAGGGGTTTTTTTTTTTGCTCTCCCCGCTCGGAGTCGCGCGTCTCCGCCAGAAGAGACCCCGCGTCTCATTTCGCTCCGAGCGGCTCCTGTAATCTTTTTCGGCTAATAGCTGTACAACAACAACAACAACAAAAAAAACACGACGATAATCCTTCTTACATTTACAGGGTCGGGTCGGGAAAAATTGGAGCAAAACACGTTTTTTATTTCCAACTACCTGATACGCGGTGTATGTGCCGAGAGTTTCCGATGTGTGTGTGAGAGAGAGACGACAGGAAGGACTTATTCGGCTCAATTCACAAAGCTTTAGAGTATGACTTAAGCCAAGACCTTTTGCCATTTTAGGTAGGGAGTAGAGAAGGGTTAGAAACCCTCGATCTCTTTCTATCATCTGTGTCTGCCTTGCCTAGGGCAGCAGCAAAGGTAAATACACCGCTGCTGTGACCCACGCGGGAGATTTCCCTTCACTTTCTGTTCAGAATAGGACATGTGCCAAAGATTGGTGACCCCTGCTCTAACTTTTCAACGCTCTATCCAAAACTAAATCAAAATTTTGGCTGGATTTGAGATGAGGGTAGAGGTAAACAGCTAATAAAACCACCAAAAAGCCTATTTATTTTTTACTTGATGGAAACCTGGTATCAAATCTGGTGCTGAGGCACTGCTAGTGGATTTTGGGGCACTGCCATTAGGGAGTGCTCAGACAGAGCCACAGAGTTCAAGCCTTCAAATGGATAAGGAGAAAGTGAGCAGTGCAAGGGAACTAGTCATGTGACTATGTGCTGCACCAATATGAGAGCCTCATCATTATGGATTCATTAAAGCTGAATTTCCAGAATAGGCAAATATTGTCCTAATACAAGAGGCATGTGCATTCTTCCTAAATCATTGATTAATGGAATCAGGACCTCCTTCCCCCTGCTGGGGACCCCTCTAGTGATAATAAAGATCTATATAGAGGGATCAGGCCCTCCTTCCTCCTGCTGGGGACCCCTCTAGCGATAATAAAGATCTATATAGAGGGATCAGGCCCTCCTTCCTCCTGCTGGGGACCCCTCTAGCGATAATAAAGATCTATATAGAGGGATCAGGCCCTCCTTCCTCCTGCTGGGGACCCCTCTAGCGATAATAAAGATCTATATAGAGGGATCAGGCCCTCCTTCCTCCTGCTGGGGACCCCTCTAGCGATAATAAAGATCTATATAGAGGGATCAGGCCCTCCTTCCTCCTGCTGGGGACCCCTCTAGCGATAATAAAGATCTATATAGAGGGATCAGGCCCTCCTTCCTCCTGCTGGGGACCCCTCTAGCGATAATAAAGATCTATATAGAGGGATCAGGCCCTCCTTCCTCCTGCTGGGGACCCCTCTAGTGATAACTAAAGATCTACATAGAGAGATCAGGACCTCCTTTGTCCTGCTGGGGATCTCTCTAGTGATAATAAAGATCTATATAGAGGGATCAGGACCTCCTTCCTCCTGCTGGGGACCCCTCTAGTGATAATAAGGATCTATATAGAGGGATCAGGACCTCCTTCCTCCTGCTGGCGATCCCTCTAGTGATAACTAAAGATATTTATAGAGGGATAGGACCTCCTTCCTCCTGCTGGGGATCCCTCTAGTGATAGATTTATATAGAGGGATCAGGACCTCCTTCCTCCTACTGGGGATCCCTCTAGTGATAATAAAGATCTATATAGAGGGATCAGGACCTCCTTCCTCCTGCTGGGGACCCCTCTAGTGATAATAAGGATCTATATAGAGGGATCAGGACCTCCTTCCTCCTGCTGGGGACCCCTCTAGTGATAATAAGGATCTATATAGAGGGATCAGGACCTCCTTCCTCCTGCTGGGGACCCCTCTAGTGATAATAAGGATCTATATAGAGGGATCAGGACCTCCTTCCTCCTGCTGGGGACCCCTCTAGTGATAATAAGGATCTATATAGAGGGATCAGGACCTCCTTCCTCCTGCTGGGGACCCCTCTAGTGATAATAAGGATCTATATAGAGGGATCAGGACCTCCTTCCTCCTGCTGGGGACCCCTCTAGTGATAATAAGGATCTATATAGAGGGATCAGGACCTCCTTCCTCCTGCTGGGGACCCCTCTAGTGATAATAAGGATCTATATAGAGGGATCAGGACCTCCTTCCTCCTGCTGGGGACCCCTCTAGTGATAATAAGGATCTATATAGAGGGATCAGGACCTCCTTCCTCCTGCTGGGGACCCCTCTAGTGATAATAAGGATCTATATAGAGGGATCAGGACCTCCTTCCTCCTGCTGGGGACCCCTCTAGTGATAATAAGGATCTATATAGAGGGATCAGGACCTCCTTCCTCCTGCTGGGGACCCCTCTAGTGATAATAAGGATCTATATAGAGGGATCAGGACCTCCTTCCTCCTGCTGGGGACCCCTCTAGTGATAATAAGGATCTATATAGAGGGATCAGGACCTCCTTCCTCCTGCTGGGGACCCCTCTAGTGATAATAAGGATCTATATAGAGGGATCAGGACCTCCTTCCTCCTGCTGGGGACCCCTCTAGTGATAATAAGGATCTATATAGAGGGATCAGGACCTCCTTCCTCCTGCTGGGGACCCCTCTAGTGATAATAAGGATCTATATAGAGGGATCAGGACCTCCTTCCTCCTGCTGGGGACCCCTCTAGTGATAATAAGGATCTATATAGAGGGATCAGGACCTCCTTCCTCCTGCTGGGGACCCCTCTAGTGATAATAAGGATCTATATAGAGGGATCAGGACCTCCTTCCTCCTGCTGGGGACCCCTCTAGTGATAATAAGGATCTATATAGAGGGATCAGGACCTCCTTCCTCCTGCTGGGGACCCCTCTAGTGATAATAAGGATCTATATAGAGGGATCAGGACCTCCTTCCTCCTGCTGGGGACCCCTCTAGTGATAATAAGGATCTATATAGAGGGATCAGGACCTCCTTCCTCCTGCTGGGGACCCCTCTAGTGATAATAAGGATCTATATAGAGGGATCAGGACCTCCTTCCTCCTGCTGGGGACCCCTCTAGTGATAATAAGGATCTATATAGAGGGATCAGGACCTCCTTCCTCCTGCTGGGGACCCCTCTAGTGATAATAAGGATCTATATAGAGGGATCAGGACCTCCTTCCTCCTGCTGGGGACCCCTCTAGTGATAATAAGGATCTATATAGAGGGATCAGGACCTCCTTCCTCCTGCTGGGGACCCCTCTAGTGATAATAAGGATCTATATAGAGGGATCAGGACCTCCTTCCTCCTGCTGGGGACCCCTCTAGTGATAATAAGGATCTATATAGAGGGATCAGGACCTCCTTCCTCCTGCTGGGGACCCCTCTAGTGATAATAAGGATCTATATAGAGGGATCAGGACCTCCTTCCTCCTGCTGGGGACCCCTCTAGTGATAATAAGGATCTATATAGAGGGATCAGGACCTCCTTCCTCCTGCTGGGGACCCCTCTAGTGATAATAAGGATCTATATAGAGGGATCAGGACCTCCTTCCTCCTGCTGGGGACCCCTCCAGTGATTCCCTCCAGAATTCCATTTGCTTACCCCAACGTTGCCTTATCTTGCAGACTGAATAATAACATAACCATTACTTTATCTGTCACTCTAAGTCTGTATTCGGCATTAAACTGAGAACGTTGAGAAGTGAAGTGGGAGATTATATATGGAAAGCGAAGCGTCTGTCTCGATAAAATGGGATTTAGCAACAATTAATTTCTTTCAGATTGGAAGGCGAACTTGGCCTGTGAGCGGAGAATACAAACCAGCTTCCTCCTGTAACATAGGTAGCGATGTATCACACGGCGCCTTACACGAGGAACTCTCGGTAAGTTGCACACTTAGCCGCGGATCTTTGAAGTGTCATGTTTGATTTGGCGTACGCCTCACTTGTCCACGCTCCATTCATCTGCTAATTCTTCCAGACTTTCGACAAATATGATTCGGCTAATCCTCCGAGAGCCTCACCCGCCCGGCGCTTCCGCCTGCCAGTTACTCACGCTGAGCACTTTCATCCCGTGGAGTGAGACGGGGGGGGGGGGGGGCGCGCTA